CACACACACACACACACACACACACACACACACACACATACACTTTTCCTTTTTGGCATGACACCGTCACATCTTCAGTATCATAATTAGCAGCTGCACTATTTCATCTGCTAGTTGCCTTTGTTGTTCCTGTTTTTGTTGTAACATCGACTGTTGAAAAGCATAGTCTACCATTATCATCATTTTAAAAAATATCTTCTTTGCATTGAAAAAATAATATGATTATTGGTACAGTTTGTTGATATACCATGTATGTTCTGAACAGTTATATATTATGCGATTTGTTTGTGAATTTATTGAAGAATAAACTATTGATAAATCAATTTTTAATTCTCCTTCCTTGTTGCCTTGTTGTCTTGTTGTCATTCTTGAGATCGATATACTCTTTCTATTTATTTTTACATTTTTTCTGAGACTTTATAAAACTTCGTATTTATAAGAAAAAGAAATCCAAGCAGTATTGAAAGAAGCCTATGTGGGTGGTTCAATAATAAGAAAAATTATAGGAAGAGGCAAATGTAATTTTTGGAAAACGACTCGATATAAAAGCTTCACACATCTTGGCATCAATGGAAAAAATAGAATGTGAAACTTAACGAGTCGGGGTTGACCCAGAGTTAATGTAATTTAATTTAATTTTTTTTTCATTTGTTATTATTATTGATTGTGTTTTGCATAATATGCTATAATGTTCTTCTTTTCCCGTATGATAAGTCGTCACTGAGAATGATTATTATCCCTACAACTAGCTCAGATGTTGATGGGAATCCTTCCATTACTGGTTTTGTCCTTAATGGTGGACACTCCTCCCCTCTGGCTGGGGTTCTGCACCACGTTCCAGGACCAGGCACCGGCGTAGCCGTGGTTGTAGACGTAGGAGAACAGCTGGTTGATGTTCATGCCGCCGCCTTCTTTTTCCCAGAACTCTCCCACGAGGATGGGTTTGTCGGCGCTATAGTCGGAGTTAGAGTGCTGGTGGAGAGGAAGATATTTTCAGTGCGGTTTGTTATTATACTGATGTTTCATTGTTTTATATAAAGGAAAAAAAAAACGCTTGTATAATGATGAAGAAGAAGAAGAAGAAGAAGAAGAAGAAGAAGAAGAAGAAGAAGAAGAAGAAGAAGAAGAAGAAGAAGAAGAAGAAGAAGAAGAAGAAGAGAG